AATAAAAAAAGTTATTTTTAAATTATTTTCTTAATTAATGCTAATTTTTATTATTTTTAGTATATTTAGTTTGGTTTTTTAACTTTTAAAATATAAATTTTAATTGAAAATTTAATATATTATATAAATAATAATTGAAATTTTTTTCATTAAATAAAAACATTTGACAAAAACTTTATATAAGAAATTTTTTTAATTGTTGCTTCTTTATTAAATTTTTATCTAAATTTTAAATATAAAAAAATTAAAAAGTAAAATTAAATTTATTAAAAATAAATGAAGAAAGTAAAGAAAAGAAAGCAACAACTTTTTAACTGGCACATAAAAAACAATTTTTTTAACTGAAATTAAAATAATAAAAAGCAACAATTCATTAAAAAATAGAAGAAAGGAAAGGAAAAGAAAGCAACATTGATATTATTGATCCATTTAATAATGAGAGATTGGTGTCAGAAATGCGAAAAATATCGCAATGTTTTTAAAAATGAAATTGCAATTTACATGTTCTTTTGAGATTACAATAAATACTTCTACAAAAAGAAAATGCAAATTGCAATTTCATTTTTTCTGAAATTTGTAATACAAAAATTAAAAATAAAAAATGTTGCAGGTTGTGAAATTTACATATTAGCTAGAATTAGAATAAGAATAAGAATATTAGTGGGAATAAATTAATAAAAGTATCCTTTAGAATTTAGACTGGCTGGGAATAAAAGTAGAGAAAAGTGTTTTTTTTTTTAATATGAATTACACATTTTTTTTACCATTTAAATGTTAAAATTACTAAAATACTTTTAATAAATAAATATAAAAGATAATTTTATTAAGGATATTTTGATAATTTTAATATCTAAATTGCATAAAAATCTATAATCCTTACCCAAAAAAAAAAAAAAAAGAACAACACATATTTCTAATAAAAGTATCCTTTCATTACCGTGGTCAACAAACAGTTTGAAGATGGTGTTGTATACTACCAGCAATCCAGCTAAACTGGTGCTGAAAAGGGTTAGGTAATGGAAAATATAGAAGCACTTGTAAATTGTCACCAGGCGCAGAAAATGGAAAGTAATCAAAGGCTTTTACAAAAGCAAGTGCTGAAACCTGAAAGTGTACTTCTCCTAATTAATAGTTTTAAATTTTTAGAATAAAAAATTTAATGGTT